AAAAAAAAAAAAAAGCTGCATGAATCCAACAACTCCAACAACTCAAGAATCTCTTTCAAGCTCAAACATGTCGAACTATCCTTCACAACTTTCAGCAGAAATTTAAAGGAAGACGAAAGTGACCAGCTCCCACGAAGTTAACACAGTTTCATAACGATAAAAATATAAAACTATAACGATCACACGAACATTGGGAGAACAAGTGAAGCTTCACTTGGGCTCAGTCAGATTCAAGCTGAAATCCCATAGTTTCTTGGCCAATTCTGCATCCGAGGCAAGTTGACTCATTTTACCAAGATTGCTGTCTGCAAAATGCTCACCCGACACTCCCTTAACCTGCGGATGCAAAGCCACATAGCAAGTTGTGGCTGCCCCCTGTGATCGAACAAGAAAAAACGATTTCAAGTTCAGAAGTCAATTAGTCGTGTAATAACTGAGTTGTCTGATTTTTTATTTTTTTATTTTATTTTTTTAATTTGGGTTGATAGATGATGAAAGGTTTTAAGTTTTAACCAACCTGAGGGATGTTTTTCAGGAAATATTTACCGACCCAATTAAGTGCACCTGCAAAGAAAAAGCAATTACAGAAAATCACACGGCCAAAAGTCAAGAAAATATATATTTTTTTTCACTGAAGATCACGATTCACATCTATTTTATGAAGAACAAATCATTTTTTTTTTTTATTTTTTTTTTGTCTCATTAACGAACTATATATTCGAAATTGTATGTAATTATTCATAAAAGTACGGTTAGTGCTTCACCACCAATGATGCCATGATGCCTCAGGAGGTTAGTAGCAATTGCTCCAGGGTGTAGTGAATTAGCAGTTATGTCGACCCCTTCTTCCTGTTCGGGAAAATATTAACTAATTACAGTGTTTTACTAGCATAAGACGTAGTAAAAAAAACTAGTGTTCCAAGGTTCAACAAATTCAAAAAATCGCTTCTTTAATTCCTCTTACGCTCTTACCTTTAAGCGCCTCGCTAGTTCATTAGCGTGCAATATGTTCGCCAGCTTTGACTGTCCATAAGCCAAAATGCTGTAGTAACTGCATTATACAAGAAATTGCTGCCATTGTTAATTTTCCAGTAAGAAATATGACATCTGATGCTAATGTAATGAACTCGGGTAAGCGCAGAAAATTTATAGACAAAGTCGCATGCAGTTAATCATACACGTCTTTTTATTCTATGCAAAGGTTATCTTGGTAGATTTAAATTCCTTCCAATGAACAACATATGGTAAAAAACAAGTAGGATATTTTGAAATGCATACAAGAAACAATGAAAAACTCAAGTATCTATATCCTTTTTTAATGCATGATTATATTTTTCTTATCTGCGAATCAAGTTTATTAAGTCTAGCATAAGAAATTATAGCATCTGCGCCCAAAATTCAACAAAATCAAACTTTACGCATTTTGTGTTATATTTAGTTAATTGTCAACTCGTCCAAAATTTCGGATTGATTGTATTTGTGTTGATCTCATATATGCAAAGATTATTAAATAAATTAGAACTGTCGATCGCTGTCAATAGCGCCTAGAATATGGTTATCTATGGAAAGAGATTACAAAACATACATCCATCCCAAATGAATGTTGCTATTTTACTTATACATCAGTAAATAATGATTCAAGTCATAGAATAAACAAAAATAATGATGTAACACTTCTAGTTCTCTATACTGAAACACAATCTCCACTTGAATTTCAAATTTGCAACACTCAAATAGAGTCCCGTGCTAACTCAAATTAACATTATTGAATTTTTGGAAGTATGTAGGAGTTGATGAGAATGAAATTGAAGATGAGTAACACAAAAAACTTATCCACAACTTGCCTGGATTTATCATTTATTTTATCAAAACGAATGCCTTCACGATATACATAACGATGACCGTCTGATGAAACATTGACAATTCTTCCTTCTTTCTGGCCCTCTCGTGCAGTCTGTTTCATCTTATCCAGTAGAAGATTGGTCAGAAGAAAATGACCTGAACATGAAAGCAAGTAAAGGACAAACGTTATTAGTATAAGCGTCAATAATAGTAAATTTGACAAAAAATAAAAAATTAAAAGAGAACAGCGTTCTTGCATATAAGATATATAATTTTTCAGAAAACTGATAATAACCTTTTAGTCACTAATGAGGGTTATAATTGATTTCATTATGCACCTAATGAGCTGGTGAAACACTTAAAAAGTAGATGGAAACAGGATCAACTTGGATAGAACAAACATTCAAGAACAACGACCATTTTAATCAGCAGAACAGAAACATTTGATGGAAAAAAAACAAATGGATGATGAAAAGTTCATAAAACGAAAATGGGAGTTTAATGAAACCGATTAAACTACATAAAAAATACTGAAAGGGAAAAGGCAAAAGTTTTTCTACTTACTGGGGCTTTTACAAATGAATAAGGAAGATTGTGATCCAAAAAAAAAAAAAAATGTTATTGTACATTGAGCATAAAACCCTGAATTCAGAAGACTACATCAAATTTTTAGTTTATACTAATTAAAGACATAGTAGAAATGTGATCCATGCTTATTTTTTAGCATTTCTCTTTTAAAAAGCAAAATCGCATTGAAAACTCGTCTAGTTAATAGCTAGCTCCGGTAGTAAATGTTACCTAGATGGTTAGTTGCAAACTGCAACTCTATGTTGTCTTGGGAAAGCGTGAATGGAGGAGCCATAACCCCTGCATTATTACTTTCAAAGGAAAAACACCGATGGCAGTTTAAAATACATAACATGCTATATCAATGAGCATGCCTTAATTTCATTAAACAGATGGCTAAGAGAACACAAGCATTCAATGAGCATTTCAAGAACACTTGAGCACATGAAGCTATTTTGAATCTTAAATTCCCAGCAACTCACATGAGGAGGTTTAATGGAAGAGAAGACGAGTTATATTCTGATGCGAATTTCCTGACAGATGCCAAAGAGCCAAGATCGAGTTCCATGACATCGATTTTAGCATTAGGTATCTCTTTAATTATTGTCTCTTTAACGTTTTTACCACTTTCCACATTACGAACTGCCATAATCACATGAACTCCGCACGATGCAAGGACTCGGGTGGTCTCTGTTCCAATGCCACTTGAAGCTCCTGAAAATATGTATCAAAGAGAACACATGTAAATCAAGCCGAAAAGGCAAAGATTCATAATTTTTCAAGTTCAAAATTTTTGGCTCTCGAACCAAACAAAAGGTAAAAACAAGCTGGTAAAATCCATCCAGAAAAAATCTTGTCTGTTACATTTGCAAATAGGACGGATCAAAAAAGTTTCCCATTTGCAATCGGCATCAACGAAGTATAGCTCAACATCTTTCAGTCCAAGCAGACATCAGTACACATAACAGGTTATAACAAAAACTTAGGAAGCTAAATACTATTTATCATATGTCTTAAATGCTACCAAACTTTAGGCGCACATACAAAATATTCTTATTTTTTTTTAAAAGAAGAAGCAAGATAGTGTTTGTTGGTGAAGTCCACCCACTTATCCGTCGGATCACACACACTCACACACAAACCCGTTTGGATGTGCATTGCTATGTTACCCGGACTCTTCTATTTAAGAAGAATACCCGTGTCATGTCGTGTCGACACTGGTGTGGGTATGAGTGTCGGGTGTGGCATTTTAGCCTAAAATGTTCAAGATTTCTAAACAATTGACGAGTCGGACGCTCATATCTCCACACCCGATACGCCACCCATATCCGAGTCCAGGTAGCATAGGTGCATTGATCCGACAACTAAACTAAAAAAAAACCCGGTAGTGCCCACTCGGGTAGAGTGAAAATTAACTGTGTTTGCACACAGTTGAGTTGTGCCTACAGAGAGTCATTTATTGGCTCCGACACCAAGTAGCTGAGAATCAGAAGTTGAGAAAGTGATTTATTTGCACACTCCCTTTACTGCACATAAATAGCCAAGAAGACAAACAGAGAAGAAAAGGTACAACCCTCAAAACACTCAACTCAGAACTAAAAAAATCACAACGCGCGATTGAACAAGAAACTAAACTGTACAGCACAATCAACTTCACCAAAGAAAGGGACTTCACCCCACATAGGCACGACCCCTGATCGCTCAAGATCCAAGCTTTTTCTAAAAACAACCCAGAAAAAATGACAAGAAAAACAAAAACAAAAAAAAAAGACCTGTAACGATGGCCGTAAGACCAGAGCCATCAATTCCTCGAACAACTTCTTCAGCCGTTGAGGAGGCTGAAAACCCAGATGCCCCTTTTCTTCCGAAAATCCACATTGTTGAGGCTCACCAGGCAAAAAGAGAGGACAAATGCTAACAAATTGCTGCTAAGTTTGATCGGTGAGGGCTTTGTAGATTGTAATTCGCTAGTGAGCTTTGGTGTCTTGGGCAAGAGTTTAAAGATTATTTTGTCAGCCACCATACCAAGTCAAAAAGGGGCAGCAGCACCCTTATTTTGAAAATGAAAACAGCAAAGAAAAAAAAAAAAAAATGGGTAAATTGCACCAAAGTCTTTGTACATACTAAATTTGTGCGTTATTCCCCTATAATTTAATGCGTCAAATTCCTTTTATTGTATTTTTGCATACGCGAAGCACCCTAAACCGTCTAAGATGACACAAGTGATGTGCACGCACGTGCTGTTCGACTTTTTTTTTTTTTTTTCACCCTAAAATCACAGAATTTACTTTGTTACCCTTACTATTCTACTCACTGTATATGAAAAAGTAATTGAGTAAAATAGTAAGGGAACCCTTACTATTCATTTTTTCACTTACTATTCTAAAATAAGCACAAACTAAAGTAATTATAAAAATATATAATTAAAATAAAATAAAAATTTAAACTCTGGTAAATATATAATAATTAAAATATTCTATTTGTAATTGAAAAAGCTATTAATTAAAATATCAAGTATCATTTGTTATTATTTTAAATAAAATAAATAAGTTTTATTTTATTTATTTAAATATGAAAATATAATATTTTATTCGGTTATTGTATTATTTTTACAATTTAGAATATATTTCCTTAATTCGTATATCATTTATAATATAGAATCTATTTACTCAATCATTATATTATTATAATATAGAATCTATTTACTTAATTATTATATTGTGTATAATTAAAAATATATTTATTCAATTATTATATTATTTATAATTTATAATATAATTCATTCAATCATTATATTATTTATAATATAGAATAAATTTACTTAATTACTATATTACTTATAGTTTAGAATATATTTACTTAATTTTTATATTATTTATAATTTAGAACCTATTTATTCAATTATTATAAAAGCTACATATTGAATAATATTATTTATAATTTAAAATTATCATTATACTTTAGAATATAATTTATTAAATTATTTTGTTATTTATATATAGAATTTATTAATTCAATCATTTATTTTTTTTTAAATTTAAAATATACTTGGTGAATCGTTATATTATTTATAATTTAGAATATGTATATATATACTTAATTATTATATTATTTATAATTTAAAATATATTCAATTATTATATTATTTTCGTTATATGTTATGATATATATATATATCACAATCATAACTAAATGTTTTGTAGCACAGTTGGTGGAGAGTTCACTTTTATAACCCAAAGGTCATGCGTTTAATCCCCATTATTGGAACTTTATTTTTAATTCAACAGCAAGGGCATAATGGTAAATTCATTGATAAAGTAACAGTGTAATGGTCAATAATAAAATAACGCCGTTAATATCAAATGACGAGTATGCATGCAGATATTAAATACAAGAGGGTTTGATGCAATTTGTGAAATACAAGGAGAAAATGACAGATTTCGTATAATAGAATTTGATTTTCGTAATAGAGAGCGCATATCCAATTTTTATGTAAGCTGTACTCAAGGTGCTCGAGAAAATCCCACACCCATTCAATTCCCAAAGTTGGCATATAGAACTTAATTTTCTTAACAGGGAGTGCATGTCCAATTTTTTATGAAAGATGTACTCAAGGTGCTCGACATATTGCCCATGAGAAAAGCCCTCACTCATCTAACTCTCTCCCAATCTCATAAACCAAATGGGGCGAACGAGGTCCTGGAAAAATGGGTCCCTTCTCCTCAGGGACCTCGAGAAAGAGGTCGGGTTCGTGAAGAAATGGAATTTCATGGCCACCATCGAAATGACCCCACCATTCTACATTAACCGAAACGGACAAAAAAATTGCGGCTTTAGAACCCGATGCTCGAATTCCAATGGAGCCCGCTTTATTTAGAAACCTACAAAAGCTGTTGATGCTATCAGTCGACTACCGGCTGCCTCTAGAAACCATCGAGCTGGTCGCCGACGAACTCAGGACTTCCCGAGGATTTCAAGAACTCGATTATTGTAAAATACCCTCATGTTTTCAAATTGGATAAAGTAGATGAAATGGAGCATATGTGTTTGGGAAATTGGGATTCATCACTGGCCGTCACAGCTCGTGAGGAGAAATTGGCATCGATCACATTATCCGGGCCTTCTCGTCGGGCCAAAGTGCCGAGGGACGAGAACTTCTCGGACCCGTTTGCTTTTCGCCTGAATTTCTCAACCGGTTTCAGGCCAAACGAGAGTTACTTGCTGGCTAGGCTTTTACTCTGCCTTAGAAAGCATCAAGTGAGTTTTTACATCACAAATAAAGGCGCGAGGAGTAGCGTGTTCTTGAAGGAGGCTTACGAGGGGTCGGATTTGGTCGATAAGTGTCCTCTGCTGGAATTCAGGGACAAATTTATGGGTTTAATGGGTAGGAAAAGTTGAATCATGTTCCTCAGCATGTTTATGCATGTGTGTGATATTTAGGTGAAGCTTGATTGTTTGAATGTGTGTGGAGTTCAAAGTCCAGATGACAATAAAGACTAGTAGATTGTGCGTTTATTGTCATTTTTCGATTAATATATTTCCGTTCTTTTAGTTTGGCTCAAGTCCTACTTCCACTGGTTCGACTACCTCGACTCCGGCTCCTCCACCAACCTTTTCGACGGCCTCTTCGATGACGGCTCAAGTCCATTGTAGTTTGTTTTGAGGTTATTATAGTTGTATAAACAACACTCTTGTACATTTCACAAAAGTATTCAATAACTAAAGCGTAAAACACGATAGAAGTACAAATAAAAAAAAATTAAAAAAAACTATTAATATACATAAACCATGAAACTATCCAAAACAACATATACAACAATCAACCAAAAAATAATGTATTGTTCATTTATCGTCTCATATCAGTTTTCTCGCCCCAGTTCGATTCGGTTTTTGGTTTTCGGTAAAAAAATATCAGCCCTAGTCTGGCCAATAAAAGAGAGTTGAAGTCTTTTATATGAGCAAATTAAAATTGTAGAATAATAATAATTAATATACAAAATTGATAGTAAAATAAAAGAAGTGTTAAATTGTAATTGACAATTGTGGACAAGTTAGCCTAAGGAGTGACGTTTAAAAACAAAAAATCTGAGAGTGCAAAAATAAATTTAAAGGAGGGCAAATTAAAATTTTTAATATTAATAATAAAAAAACATTAAAATTTGAAGGGGGCAATTACATGTAATTCGTCCTTTGCGCGCGCGCACAAACACACATAGATGTAATAAAAATATATCAATTATAGTTAATGTGAGAGAAAAGTAAATTATTTACTAGTAATAACTCATAATTAAATGTATGTAAGTAACAAACAATAAGAATTTGTTATTCTTTTTTATTAGATATTTAAAATAGAATAATACATTTTAAGAGGGGAAAACGGTGCAAATACGACGATAAGGAGAATAACATAATTAGAATAAAAAATATACATGTAATCTCTACTTATTATAATATTAGTAAAATTGCACAATTAATTTTTTTGTCAACACGCAACACATAATTTAGTAAGTCAACTGATAAATAAATTTGGCAAAATAGATTATTTTAAAAAAAAAAAATTAATACACAAATTGGATATAACTATTTGGAACAAGTCTTTAGCAAGGCTGTGCTAGTCAATTCATGCACAAACCTCAAACCTATACAAGCCCATAACTAACTGGTTATTAATAAAATACCAAATTGAGAAGCCCAAACATAAAACGAGACCTTAGGCCTTGATTGTTTATGAAATAATTTACTTAAATTTATTTCATACTCAAAATCTAACTCAACTTTAACTCTAGTTCACTATCTTTAATATTATTTATATAATTAAGTTAATATAAATCAAATAAATCAATCATTGTTATACATCACATCAGTTTTAATTCACTATTCATCCACTCACATAATTTTAACTACCTATCACTTTCAGTCACTTCATTTATCTCATACTTTTACCTCAAATCAATTTTAATCATTTTAATTTAAATATTATTTTAATTTATTATCAAAATTCTACTAACAATTAACTATACTATTTTTTTAAAAATTAACTATGATTAATCAAAATAACTCATTTTGCACAAATTATTTCATAAATAATCAAGCCTTAGTATTCGATGTCAAGACACCAATTTGTATAGTAAAATACTCCTCCTTCTGCCTTTTCATTTCAAGACTCTAAGATGTGGGCCTTAATAATTCAGTGGGCTACATAAGTTAATAATTTGGTGCCCTCAAACTTTGTGGGCCTTGGACGGTTGCCCTGTCCTAAGGCCGACCATGAGTTTGGCAAAATTAGCTGATAAGTTATCTTATAGTTTATCAGTAATTTTCGATCTTATAACTTATAACTTATGACTTATAGCTGAAAAACTAGTTTATATGATACAGTGTCTGGTAAAATTAGTTGATAAACTAGCCCAAAAAAACTTATGAGATAAGCTCATTTTTTTTAAAAAAAATCAGTCCTACCGAACGAAACTTATTTAAATACAGGAACCTTATAAGATAACTAAATAAGTTATAAACTAACTTATTTATCTACCAAACATAGTGTAACCCTGTTTTCATATTAACCAATAGAATTCATTTGTTTATTTATTTTTCACTAACCTGTGCAATTCATTTATTTATTTGTTTATAGTGTATTAGTAACAGGATATAATATAGGAAAATGCTACGGCCTCGTTACAGTGCCATCTCGTCTAGTGTTTTAACCGTTGGATCCACGTGTAGTTAGATAAGATAGATGATCTAACGGTTAAAACACCCGACGAAATGGTACCATAACGAGACCGTAGCATTTCTCTATAATATAATATTGCCCGTGAGCAACAATAATTTGTTGTTTCTAAACTTTCTTATTCGAGCAGTGGTTTTATGTAGATAATATTTAAATTAAAAAAAAAAAAAGAAGCACATTTTAATGCATATTTAACTTTAACCGAACGGTTTGAAGGTCAAATTTGCACTATTGTATAAAAAAATCAGCAGTATCATATCTCAAATCATTCTATATATCTGCTAACAAAATAATATATAACTCACTCTACAATTCTCAAAATGGGTACGCTCTCATGAGTCAAAAGTCACAAGCTAAAACTGCGTAGTTTTCAAAGTAAAAACACTCAATTCATATTTTAAATGATTGTAAAATTATGTTTACTTTGCTATTATTAGCTTTAATTTCACATCTCTTTCATATTTTTTTTTCAACTATATAAAAGTTAGGGAGATTTTACGGTTCCGTTACAGAATCATTTCGTCGGAGTTTATAACCGTTAGATCAACTATACACGACGGTTACATGTACAATGATCTAACGGTTACAAATCGCGATGGAATGGTTCCATAACGGGACTAAAAGTTAATAGTCTTAGACGTAGTGAAACGTTAAACACCGCCCCCTTTTTATATTTACCACCCCTAAAAGATTAATTTGCCCTTTATTCATTTTTTAAAAAAGAAGAGATGTCCTTCTTTAAAACTATTTACCGGCCAAACCGTGCCTCGAAAAATTCCGAAAACACCTTTGAATAATTCCGGCGAAAAAATATTTTCCAACAAGACCGGTCATGCGGCGGCCGACCGGTCAAACCGGCGACCGACCGGTCAAACCGGCGGCCGACTGGTCAAACTGGCCAAAAATATTTTTTTTTTTTTTTGAGCCGGCCGGCCTCGAATGCCGGCCGTAGCCGTGCCGACCTTCTTTTTGCCGGTTGGCCGGCCCATGCACGGTCGGTTTTGCCGGTTGGCCGCACCATGCACGGCCGGTTTTGCCGGCCGGCCGGCCAATTTTTATTTTTTTTTTTATTTTTTGTTTTTTTTTATCAAATTTTTTAATTATATACATTATATTAGAATTTAGATTTATGTTATAAATTAGAATTTAATATCTCATAGTTAGAATTTAGAAATTGTTAAAGTATAAATTATAATTAATTATTTTATAGAATTTTATTATTATTATGTTAGAACTATTAAATTATTATGTTATATAACATAATACTAATTATCTCTAATAAAATACTAATGAGTGATGCTATTAAAAATTGTATTTCCCTTTTTTTCTTAAATCCGCTCATTTTCAACTCGGTAATAAATTTTAAAATACAAAATAATATTTTGACTTAAATTTGAAATTCATAAATACCAATTTAAATAACAAATTGAACGAAAAAAAATCAGATTCTGTTAGAGCAATTCATTGAGACTGATTAATTAAGTATGATTTGACCGAATTTTATGACAAGAGATTGTTTGACACTTTTCTCATAGTTATATGATTCGTTTGAATATTATAATAGAAAAAACGTTCTAACAAAATAGTAATAAATTCTAACTTATTATAGTAATAAGTTATACCATAATAATTTCTAACTTCTAACATAGTAGTACTAAATATTATTTCATAAGACTATCAATTCTAAATCATACCATAATAATATCCAACTTCTAACAGAATAGTAATAAATTATAACTTATAACATAATCAGTTTTAATCTATAATACAATAATTTCTAACCTCTAACAAAATAGCAATAAATTCTAATTAATAAGACAATCAATTCTAATCTATAATACAATAATTTCTAACATAATGAATGTCATCAATCACAAACATAATATACCCTAAACCCTGAACCCTAACCCCTAAACCCTAAACCCTGAACCCCTAAACCCTAAACCCTATACGTTAATTTCGGGTTATGTTTGTTATTCACTCGTTGAGGATAAAATGAACTAACAACATATACATTTAAAAAAATGATATTAGTATAATTAGTATAAGTTATATTATTATAAATCAGAAATGATACTTGTTTGAAAAAAATATATGAGTATAAATTATTATGTTATATATTAGAATTGATTATCTTCGAATTTATTACTAATATGTTAGAAGTTAGAAATTATTGTATTATAGATTAGAATTTATTGTCTTATGAATTAGAATTTATTGTTATTTTGTTAGAGGTTAGAAATTATTGTATTATAGATTAAAATTGATTATGTTATAAATTATAATTTATTACTATTATGTTAGAAGTTGGATATTATTATGATATATTTTAGAATTGATAGTCTTATGAAATAATATTTAGTACTACTATGTTAGAAATTAGAAATTATTATGGTATAGATTATTACTATTATAAATTAGAATTTATTACTATTTTGTTAGAACGTTTTTTCTACTATAATATTCACACAAATTATATAACTCTGAAAAAAGTGTCAAACAATCTCTTTTCATAAAATTCGGTCAAATTTATTCAATTAATCGGTCTCAATGAATTTTTCTAACAAAATCTGATATTTTTCGTTCAATTTGTTATTTAAATTGGTATTTATGAATTTCAAATTTAAGTCAAAACATTATTTTTGTATTTTAAAATTTATTACCGAGTTGAAAAAGAGCGGATTTGAGAAAAAAAGAGAACTACAATTTTTAATAGCATCACTCATTAGTATTTTATTAGAGATAATTAGTATTATGTTATACTATAACATAATAATTAATGAGTTCTAACCAAGGTTTTAAATAGCGGGCTAAAACGTTTATGGCACTGTAGCTATAGCGGAGCTATAGCGGAAATTTAGCGGAATTTATCGGCTAAATTGCACATGAATACAAATAGCGGCACGCTGCAAAAAAAAGCTAT